CGGACCCAAGTGAAAGGTAAACCTGTACGTCAGCTTCACCTTACATAACAGTAAGGGAAATTTAAAAAAAAAAGGCAGGCATTTGATCTTAAAACTCACACGGAAAATAAAATGCATAAAAACCCAAGGTGAGTTTTCCTCTATTTCTACTTGATATTATCCACCTTCAGAGCTAGAAAGTTATGAAGTCTGCTTCCAAGCATAAGTCAGTAAATAAACACAGAAAGTATTGACAAACTTGACTTCAAAGGTCACAGGAAGGGGGCGAGTACCACCTTTTCAGCCTTCTCTTTCCTCTTTTCAGTCCCCCTCAAATGCTGAAATTCTGTGCCCTGCCCTAGGGCGAGAAGGGAGCCCTTGCAGGAAGCAGCGGAAGTCAGAGCCTCTTCAAGCCAGTGATGAACTGGACTCAGCCCCGCTCATCCTTATGAACGTAACCGGTCCAGGAGAGAGCAGCTGAGCAGAGAGGTGTAAATAGCCTGGTGACCACCAGCTGCTGTGACCGTCAGTTCCGGCTCACCACAAGCCCTGTCTCATGAACAACCAGGGCTGACCCAAGGCTATCCCATGTACGTGGCCACAGTGCAGTATAGGTTCCCAAACCTTTCCCTGCCCGAAGACAACACACAGGAGAAGAAAGTCAAAGTTCCTTGCCGTCAGACTGGAGGAGGCCATGTGCTGATGGAGAAGGGGGCAGCTAGAGCCACCCCTTGTGACACAGAGGACACCCCAGAGCAGGTGCAAGACAGAGACGTTCTCCCTTCTCCGCCACAACTGTAGCTCCCCAAAATACTCTCTCCAGCTGGCTCCTGCTCACAGCACCCCACATTTATCAGGATGCAGCAGCAAGGCTGGCACCCTCCATGCTCTCATCCTCTTTGCCAAAGGCAAGCAAGAGAAGTACCCTCACCTCGCCAAAGACAGAGGAAAAGGGACTGCAGGATTCACGCAGACCGTTTTGAAAAGCGATGAGCATCACAGCCTTACAGATTAGCTGGGGTAGTAGGAGCTGAAATGACATTTGTATCGAGGCTCGGCCAGACCAAGACACCACGGTTCAAGGGTGATGCTAGAGAGCAAGGTTTGGGTATGACCATGAATATTTTCCCCTATCTTTCATCTCATTCAAGAATGCAAAGGCTGTAGCAGCCTTACAACTAACAGCCACAGCACACACTGAAATTGCCAAAGCTAGTGAAATCTGATTTACTCTGTGAGGGGGAAGGGGAAGTCATTTAGCTTGAGTCATAAGAGGCTTTGATACAATCTAAGCTTGATCATCTCTGAAGAAACAGCTCACTCCCTGGACGGATATCAAAAGGCTGCTGTGTACAGCCTTGATAACACAATAGCAGAGAATCATTCCTAGCGCTGAAGATTACAAAATCTTTGTATCAGCTGTTCTTCAGGACAGGTTCTCATCACCTGATGGGCACTCCAGGTTTATGGTTAACCCTTCAGGGGTCCTTGGCTCTAAAATGAAGAAGACACAAGCTTTGCAGAGTTTTTTACACTGCAAGTATAGTTGTAAAAAAAATAACTGTGCAGCCCCAGGCATAAATAAATGTCGATCTGCCTGCCTTTCCCTGCCTGAGGTTTTAGCTGTCTGGAGCCTCACGTGCTCTAGGAGTGAGGGAGTGTGCAACTCTGCTGCTGGTGAAAGCAGGCAGGCAGGAGGGCTGGGAGGGTAATTCTGCCTTAGCAGAAAACACAGGGGATGAGCGATACCTGCACCCGCCTGGAAAGCTCTGCTGGCTCAGAGCCCCTCTTCGCGTGGCCCGAGTCCTGGCTGGGCTCCGTAAAGAAGGACGATGCTCAAAAACCCACATGTAAAGGAAAAGAAAGCTTAAATTCAGCTGAGTATAAAATTTTATTCCCTACCTTAGCTCCTAAGGCTGGGGAGGACTTTTTATTGCCAATGACATTTGTTTCTGGAAAGGAGAGGAACATGCCTCTGCAGGAGGGGAGAGTCGACTTTGTCACACACCTCATGGGGCTATGTAAAGTAGCTGAGTGGGAGAATTCTTGACACCTCCCTGTGCTGGAGTAAACCCAGAAGTGCAGGCCAAGACTCCTGCAAGAGCCTCCCTGGGGAGACACGGGAATAGCACAGCCAATCCTGCCTCTCCACGAGAGCTGCTCTCCAGTACTCCCGCGGCCTCGGCTAGCAACTGAATTCACAAATGGCACAGAGATGCAAGGGACCAGCAGGGGAGAGGGAAAGGTCAGCTAAGGTTGCTGCCACTAGCCCAACCAGAGCAAATGGCAAATGAGAACAGAGCCCTGCAGAGCAGCACTGAGGAAAAAACAACGCGTGTGTTGCAAGTGTTCCCCCGTGCTCATCGTCCCCCTTCTGCCCTTACAAGCATGAATCTAAAAAACAAAACCTACTTTGCGGAGACAATATGGAAGCCATAAGCAGAAAGGGTAATTGATGTAGGTTGTACCTGGGACAGCTGTTTCCCCTTGCCTTGCACACCAGAGCATACGGAATACTCCTACAGATGAGCAGTACCAGATGCAGTGGGGTGAGATGCTGTTTTATTCCCAGCCTCTGCAGTAAGAAAAGACATCAGGCCTGAGCTCCTGCATGTTCTCCCAGGAAGCCGGCAGCACCGGGCAGTACATACCTCCAGCGTGGTATGCTGGTATGTGGATGCCACCTTCCTATTTTTCCAGTTAGTTCCTTCGCATCACCCATCACAGCTGTTCAGCTGCTCACGTCGGTGAATCTGCTCTACAAACAGTAGTTTTGCAAAGAAACCACTCCTGCAACGGAGGCTGGGATGCTCAGTGGTACAGCAGCCTGTAGCTGTGCGTACTGAAGTGACAGCGCTGTAGGCAGAGGTCTCAAGACATCAGTTAGGTCACTCAAAGCTTGTGATGCACGACCCTGCGATACAGCGCACCTTGTAGACCGGGGCTGAGGTGGGGATAGCTCTCCATAGCAGAGACTCACTGGATGTAAGGAGAACACGTGTGGCAGACTCCCATGCATACACGTAGCCTTTGCAGTGGCAGCAACTTTCCACTTGCTCGTGGCTGCTCCTTGCCTTGGCTGTACTGCAACGACTACCAGCAGTGGGCACGTGCCTACCTTCCAGCATGCAAGTCTGCAGGCAGAGACCACAAGAAATGTGAAATACCTTCTGTGCCTGAGGCCAGCCATCCCAGCAACATGCCCAGCAGGACCACCGGACCACCACCTAGTGGAAAAACGACTCGCTCTCCAATACTCAGACGGTCTCAAGAGGCACTCTGAAGCTGCATGGATGACTGCAGACCCATGATACGGTATTTTTCTAGCACTAAACAAGCAGATGGAGCATTGCGTCTGGTTTCTCCCAGCCAAGCTTCCTGCAGAGGGATGACTAGTTTCCAGAGCGTTAAACAGACGTGTGACCACGGCCAAATGCCAGATGGCTGGAAAGAGCATTGGAGCAGCCCCCATGACGAATGTCTAGCCTTGGCTGCCAGCGTCGCGTACCATATGTATCAGCTCCCAGATAGGAAGGCCTGGCTGCAAGTTGTTACACAGCACGGTTTTTAGTGTTGCCATGAAACAATAGCGTAGAAAGAAGAAAGTTTTTTCCTTCCCTCCTTTCCTGCACTGTGCAAAGGGATCTGCTTCAAAGGTCTTTTATGGATGATGTGGATGGAAAAAGCTGTTTCAAAGGCAGGACACCTAGTTCTGTGCAGGCCTCTTGCTGAGATGGGGATACAATTTTTGCTTCAGGAGATACGATTTCTGTTTAATTCTCACAACAGATGACTTCAGGGAGTGACGAAGCATTGAGGTGTAGGTGAGTACTGCAGCTGGTGCCACTTAATCAGCACTGGGCTAGTGGCAGGGAAGCTAATGCTTGCTGTTGCAAGGGCTACAAAGTTAGAAGTCTATCTCAAAGCCTCCCGCCAAGTATTTCCAGTTACTGGGTTCCCAGGAGCACCCACAACAGCAGAGCCTCTAAGCACCCTGGCTCGTTGCTCCCACTTGTAAGCAGCATACAACCAGGGGATTTGTGTCCGCGTTTGATTTACGGTGCAGCCGTCATCCAGGCTGACGCCTGTACCCAGGAGCAGAGCACAAGTGGAAAGAAAAACAAGGAAAGAAAGGAAAAAAGTCTCCATGTGGCATCACTCTATGCAAACCACCAATTCCAGTTGCAGCTTCATGACCTCTTTATGTTGATCTGATGCTGTCTGGGCTGCCACTAAACCAATCAGCCCTAACCTTCCTGCCCACCACGTCACGAGCTGGACTGGAGAATCTGTCTGAATGCTATTTTACAAAGGTTCCCTTTCCTTTAGATCAATTACCTGGGCTGGCATACTGCTCAGCTCACCCAAGCTCACGGGAGGCAGCAGGAGAACAGGGTCAGCAGCAGCAGTTCTCACTGAGGTTAGCTAAAGTCTGTTGCCTTACAAGCAACAGCCTCACAGCCTACCCGTCTTAACCTGCCCCAGCACATTCTCACATGCACGTTGATGAAGCTTGCAAAAAGCACAGCCAGAGATACTCAAATGTGTGTGCCACACTGGCAACCTACAAATCAGTGATCTGCCCAGACTGATTTCATTTACACTTCAGTCTGTGAGATGCTTATGTGAGACATGAAATGAAGCTACGACTTTTCAGGCTCCTAATGAGAGTGAGCATGTGTGAGACAAACAGCTGGCAGACAAGTTATAACAACCAGAAAAAGGCCTCCTAAAGATGGTGGCCTATTTATTTTAAAAGGGACTTTGTTGCTGGTTTTATTTTCAAGAAAAACGTACACTTGGAGAATAAAGCTGAGGCTTTTTTAGCCCCACTGATGTCTAAACCACAGTCTTCAAATGCAAATTTCGGGACAGCATTCAACCAGTATCAGCAGAGCCCTCTGATTCCTGGATGGCATTTTGGCACTCTAGTCTATTAACTTATATTTACAGTCCAGAGGTGGAGGTTGGTTCAGAGGAAACCTGAGGATGGGAACAAGGTGGGTAGATTCATCGCTTTATCACGTGGAATGGTGCTTAGTCCTTCTGGGAAGGTCAAGTCTCTTCGCAGTTAGCACCTGGGCCAATCCATTCATCAGCATCATAAATATGGTCAACGACATCACCAGCACATAGTGGCTAATGCTGCAAGGAAGAGACAGATAAAAGAAGTGAGAGGAAAACGCAAATTTGCAGAGCAAAAAAAAAAACCAACCAAACCCTGACATAAACAAACCTCTGAATATATCTATATATGTTTTTAACAATTTTTAACTTATTTTTTAATTACTGGCATAGCACGTCATCTTATATGTGCTTCTCCTGGAAGACAACTATTGCAGCCACTATCGTGCAAAACCTAAAGTCTGTGACAAAACAGAACGGTGGAGACAAAAGAAAACACAACTGACCATATACTGAGTGAGTAAGAGGGACTGGGTGTATTTTTCATTCAAGTGGGTAATTCAACGCATGTGACTGAAACCACCACAGAACTTCCGTTTGCTGTGACCTGATAACACAGAACCTAGGGTGAACTTGCCATCAGGTAGACATTCCTTGAGAGTAAGACAACTCTGACATTTATGTCAGCTGAAGTGCAATTTTCTAGAGAAAACACTATTCCAGTGATGAGCAGCTTTAAGGGGAAAAAAAAAAAACCACCAACACATTACTTTTTCACTCAGCTTTTCTAAAAATTGTGAAATTCTCTGCTGTGGTAACACATGGTTTCAAAGGGATTAAACAAAGGAGTTCAAGAGTGGCAACTAAACACAATATGAAGATGCAGCTTTTGGGTTAGGAAATCCTTAAGTCACTAATGATGAAAAGGGTAGAAGCAGAGATCTTGTTCTCCACTTGCTCAAATTCTGGTACCTGATGTTCACTAGTGTTACAGAGAGGCTACTGAGGGTCAGACTGAGACTCGACTGGCGTTCGGACATGAGAGGCGTCCACACCTCCTGATGCACCCATCTCCACTGTTTCAAAGCAGATGGCTCTTTAGGACGAGCAGGGTAACTTCAGATGCGATGAAGTCTGAGTATAGTCACAAAAAAAGGATTGCAAGGAGCACTTGCCGGTTAAATGACCTGGAATTTCTGCCAGAGGACTCATTCAGTTTGAGAGTTTAGCCATAAAGAGAGCAGTAAAGCTCATAATGCCGACGCTATCAGTCCTCACGACCCCAAGACTGTGACAACAAGCCCAGCGCAATTTAGCCCTATGAAGTGGAGAAGCACCAGCTCTTAACAAAGCTGAGCCGCTAACCAGTGTGAGAGGATAAAGGTAATCCAAAACGTTCACTAGTGAGCGGGAGCTCTTCCACAGCCAGGATACCAGCAACCGAAGGAGCCGGGGTCTGTCCAAAGTGGATGGAGAACACTGAAAGGGACTTGGCTCATGCAACAAGATTTTTCTATTTCTGTTGTATCTGACTAAACCTTCTCACAAATACCTCAAAATACACAGTTTTAAGAAACCAATTGCAAAAAGCCACCAGCACAAATGGGCTCAGACCTCAACAAGCATAATCCACCCCAACAGCCTGCACCTCGCATCTCTGTAACCCCCACCCGTACACAGCACAAGTGGAAATATTCACTGATGTGAACAACTCAAGATTTAAAACACCAGGCAGGAGCATCTTTCCTACGTGCCTCTCCTATAAGCACCTTCCCCCTCCGGCTTTAGCTAAGCAGAACAGCACGCCTACAAGAGCCATACTGCTGCTCTGTTTCTGTGGGGAATGTGTAAGATGACCCAGCAGGAGCATGGAGTCAGGCACAAAGCATACTCCCACCCGGGGTTTACCCAGTGCCACCCGGTGGCACTTTGGACTTCCGTAGTTCACGTCACGTTTACAATAACAAGGATAATGCAGCTCCCTCAAGAGCTGCCCTAGGAAGTCCACCTGGCTCAGTTTCAGGAAAGGACATGCTGCCAACTGAAAGTCAAAACCCTTCTTGCAGTTACCTTCAGGGTGTAACGTGCCCTTGGGGACTGTACAAGCACCACAGGTACAGAAGTTTGTGTGGCTCTTCAGGGAACAGCCAGCCTGGACAAGAGCTGGATGGCTGGCTCAATGTCTCATGTGTTACTGGTAGCACCTCAACTTTTCTTCTCATGTGGCACCAGTGAGAAGTTTTTTGTGTAAGCAGCAGCACCACTTTCCTTCTAGCTTCCAAAGAAAGCTTGAAGGAGAAATCTGAAAGTCAGAAGCCAAATGAAGATCCTGCTTTTAATCCTACAGACGCCCTGAGACAGTCACCAGAGAGAGCGGCGATTTGCTGCCATCAGCACGGTCCTTAGGCATCTGAGCTCCTGTCTGCCCCAAAGGGAGCTTTTCCAGATGTGGGTGCTGATCGATTATTTTGAGGGGCACAGAGAAGGGCTTTCTCAAAAGCAAAAGAGACTCCACAAACTCTGCTTGGCTACCTGTCAGTCCCCTGTACTTTTGTAAGGAAGGGAGTGCTGCACGCACTTCTCCCTTGCCATACTGCAAAAGGCTGGATAGTTACACTCCTTTATTAAAATATCAGATGTTCAGAGTAAAGAAATATATACACGTATTGTACCACGGAGCACAATTACAAACAATTTCAGTCTACTTGTCACATAACCCAGCACCTCTGGGGCTATCAGCCACTGGTACTGCAGTGCCTGCAGGCAGCTAAGCTTGGTAAATTAGTTCTCAGGCTGGGGTAATGCTGTAATTAAACAAACAAACAAATCAAGACTCTTACAGGTATATGTCACAACAGCAGTGGTAAAATCTTGATCCCTGTACAACCCAGAACTGTACCCTTGGCTGGATCTGTAGTTACAGTGAAGCAGGTAATTCTCAAAACAGATTTCCCTCTATCAGAAGTCAAACCTCAACTAATGAGAAAAAGAAACAAGATTCCAGCATCCAGGCAAGTTAGATCCATGTGGAGGAAGAAGAGACATTAAACAGGTACAAGAAAATAGCACCGTGGTCCAACACTTACGAAGGATGAGATGAGCAGGGACAGGTAATGGTAGGGAAGAGGAAGCTGGTGTAGGTGACCATGGACGATCTAAGGCAGCACCATTCCATGGGAAGGTGAGTGCCCTATGTACGAATCAAGGTCAACAGGCAAAACTGACGCTAGGAAAATGTGTCAGGGAGGAAGACACCTGTTTCAGTGGCAAGGAACCAAAAGGAGAACATATGATTTACCACCATCTCCTGGCTTTCTTTGTGACAGTGTACATCGGTGTCAAGTACTAACCAAGGACAAGAAGAATAAAAGACCAGTAAAAAAAAAAGGGGGGGGGTGGGGTGGGAGTGGGGAGGCAGAAATCAATCTCACTCCAGAATGTGGCTTTCTCCCAGGGCAGGCTAATTCCTAAGATGGCAGACCTGATTAGAAGCTGGGAAGACAGGAAGATGGCGTAAGTTACCATAGCAATTAAAAAACTAGAAATAAAACAAGTAAAACAAACCCAACTCCTGCAAGGACTTGGAAGAGCAGTTTCCAGAAAGTCCAAGGACCTTATTTGTACATGACATGCTACTCTAACTGTGGGATTGTTCCCAAGCACACAGCGAGACCCCAGATTTAGATTCTGATTTTTAAGTCTACTGTGCTCCAAGCTGGGATCCCACACTATTTCTCCTCTGTTTCACACACAAAAAAAAGTCAAAAAGCACATTACTCCTAGCTCCTGTTTTATAACTTGTTGGCAAACACTGTTTTCCTCCTAGTTACGTGACCTTAGTTTTAACAGTCTTAGAAGACCCAGCATCCCAAACCTGAAACCAATTCTGCTATCCTAAAAAACAGTTTTCTCTGCTTTATCTATGTCCCCTGAAGTTTGAAACTGCAGAAGAACAGCTAAGATTGTATCTTTCTCTTTATTTTCCAGCAACTGTTATAAAAAGAGGGAGGGAGTAGCACAGTACGTGCCTGTACAAGGCTGTATAATACTGTCATATAAAGAAGCTTTAGGGTTTATCTTGACTATCTGAATATACAGCTATTTACAAATTGCATATATTGTATAGATATAGTAGGCTTTAAAGGCTATATCTGTCTACAGAGATCTATAGATAGCATGTGCTGGTTTTAGTCATAGATAAACATACCCTGTAAGCCACAGAGAAATTATTTTAGTGACAAAGATGCTGAAACGCTATTCAAAAATAAAATAATCTGTTAGAACTATCTTCTCATGATCACGTGCTACACCCTGAAACATCAAAAGCACTAGGAGAAGTGTGTTATTATTTTTATGACACGTGATGGTGTATTCCTCTAGGGCATATGATGCAACGTAGGGTAAGCTCGAGATGCACGAGGTAAGGTTAGCAGACCTCAGGAGCTTGTGTAAGGCACTGCTACGAGTTCTGCATTCAACGCAAGATTATTGTCCTGGTATTATATCAAAACAGCAACAAGATCTCTCTGAGAAACAAGTTCACATCGATTTTGGCATGACCATTGAAAGCAAAGGGTGTTTAAAACTTTCTAAGAAGACATAAATATTTATGGTAATTGATAATTTAATGACAGGAAGGAATCAATGGTGCATTGGTAATTTACTGAATGCGGTAATAGAGGACTGTATGTTGGATCTGTCGTTGCTCAGCATTTCATTAATGATTTGGAAGAGTGGGAAAAACAGAAATCTCTTTACATTCAAAGATTAAGTGGCATGGTGAACTCAACAAGCCAAGTGGAGACATAGAATCATAGAATCACTAGGTTGGAAAAGACCTTAGAGATCATCCAGTCCAACCGTAAACATCACATTGTTAAGGCAGACGTGAGGCTCGGTGAAATGACATGGTTAAAGCTTGGTAGAATGAGATGTAAGAGCCAAGAGTTTGGGGTGAAATTAAAAAAAAAAAAAAAAGGAAATATGTCAGTTCAGTAAAAAAATTCTACTTCCAAACAATGAGAGAGATCCACTAGGAAACAAAACATCACTACAAAAAGCAGTGTTAGTGCAGATTTAGAACCAGCTCTTACACACGAAACTTCTGAGTGCTGGTATTGGAAAACCCAAGTATTGTCCAAAGAGGGCTTCCTACTGAACTTGTACGTTCTTAGCAAGAGAGAGGAGATTAAAAAGTTTTGAAGCGTGGTAATTAGAAAATCCATAGCAAGCTATCACCACAAAAAAAGAGCGAGCATGGAAATACACATCAGAAGTTTTGCAAATGCAGCATAGGTACCACTGGACTCTGACAGACTTCAGAGGAATGACTCTTCACTGGGAAATTAAATTGCTGCTTTTCCACCTGTGATTTCAATGACGTGGTAATTAGTAAGATAAAACGTACCCTGGTAATTGCACATGCACACACACTTTGTGTCAATGTCCCAAAAAAATAAAAGGAAAACGAAAAAAGATGAGAGCAGCTGTCCCTAAGGGTGCTCCTATTCTTCCTTCCATGAAATCCCACACAGGTTTTGTTGAGACACAAACAGGTGGGAAAAATAGAATCGTCATCTCCTTAACTGACTCAGCCTTCTCAGGAAAATTTTGGCAACACCTAAAATGTCAACCCAGGTGGGATATTTTCAGACCTTGCTGTCAAAGTAACAGCACTGCAACGGGAACGCCACAGAGCTGTCACTGCAGTTGTAACAGGAGGACAGGAAAGAGCCACATTAGTACCTCTCTCCCACTGCTTTTGGGAATCGCCCAAAACCCCAAGAAACTCATCTTCCCTTTGACAAGAATAAACAACTAAAATAAAAAAAAAGCTCCTGCTGTTGCCTGCTGATTTTGCCAAGCCTGAGTGAGGATCACACATTAGAAATCCGCTCAGAGGAGAAGGTTGAGGTGCAAAAATGTTGCTCATGCTGTGCGAAAGAAGGACCACCGCAGTTCTGTGCCTATGGCTTCCCCTCTTATGCAATCCAGTTAAGTTTGACCTAACGTGCACACACACACCCCATAGCTAAAGAGCGTACAATAAAATAACGTAGGTGCCGACGTCAAGCACTCACAGGTGAAGTAATAGCAAATTTAAAGCTGCCTGAGCATTATGCATTACCACGTTAAACATTAATCACAAATTACTCTTCTGAAAGGACTTTCCCAGTGCTCAAAACACACGGAGAGGCAGAATTATGGGTGTGGAGAATGAGCACCCCTAAACTCTTTGGGATCAGGCAAACTGCCAGCTGAAATGGATCCAACAATTGATCACCAGGTTGCTCAAAGGCTGGATGAGGTTTGAGCAACCTGGTCTAGTGGAAGGTGTCCCTGCCCATGGCAGGGGGGTTGGAACTAGATGGTCTTTAAGGTTCCTTCCAACCCAAACCGTTCTATGATTCTATGAAACTGCCAGTTGAAATGGATCCAACAATTGATCACCATTGTAAACGTCTTGTGCTGTGAAGACCATATATCAGAGAGGAAGTTTCAGGGTATCTGAAACAATTTATGCTTTTGCTTACTCACTCCCAGTTAGAAAGTTTCTTGCCCAGCAGAACAGAGCTTTCCTGAGGCCTTTATTATCCTTATTAATCTGCATAGGAATTCAAAGGAGGAGACCATCTGATTTACCACAAACTGACCACAGCAAGGAAGCATGATGTTAAAGCAGCACTTCCACTGTCTGAGCTAACAGTATCTTCTCCCACTAGGAACCTTCAAAAGGTTCCTACTCCCAGGAATTTGAACCTCCAAAGGAAACAGGCAGAATACGTGCGCACGTCTGTGTACAGGTGTGCACGATCAAGAGGGAACAAGGGGGCTCAGCAAAGCACAGAGTAGATGTAGACTAAACAGAATATTAACAATGGGTCACTATTCAACTTCTGTTTAAACAACAGTGTCAAGTGGTCAGATTGGCTGGATTATTAACAATACATTCCCTGCTAAGCTTATTACAGCACATTATCTATTCCCACAAGTTGGGGAAAGTAAATCTGAAACGTCTATTCCTCGTCTTTGTTATTTCTGGACTCTTCACAAGTAAGACTGTGCAGCTGAAAACCTGCCCCGTGATACGTGCTGCGGAGGCTAGCGTGCATCATAACGCAAAACCAATTCACCATTTTTAGCTGTGATTTCTATGTTTAAATACTACAGATTTACATTTCCCCAGCTAGGGGGGAGGATAAATGCATGGATCTTGGTAGCCACCACCATTATTGTGCAAGGTTCATTAATAAAAAGGGGATTGTATACGGAGGCTTAACTGGATTCAAGGCAACTAACAATTTTGATAAACTGTTATTTTAACAGTGATCACAACTAATTAAAATGCAAAACAGGGTGTGTGTGTGTGTGTATGCATAATAACTGTTCTTTGGAAATCAAACAAACCCTACTAGCTCTATTTCTTGCCATGCCAGATTCATTACTTCCACGTTGCTCTGGAACAGATTCTAAGATGCAAGTTCTAGCTTGGGATATATGTACATGTATATACGTGTGCACATGCGTTTTAAGTATGGGGAACATCGCTGAAGCATTTGATTAAGAAGAGTAATTGGAAAAAAATCACAAGAGTTCTGAGTAGGTAAACAACAATATTAACCTATGAGACCTTTAAAAAAGCAATGGAGGCAAAAAAACCCCAAAACTGTACCTTGTTCCGATATCCAGCCAGCTTCCATAATCTTTAACCATAAAGAAAAAATGCTAGAAGATAAACCAACTTTAATTAGTACATAAACACTGCACAATTTGAAACACAAAATTAAACCCCATGTTTTCAGGGTGTTTACTCCAAGTTTCTCATTCTTCAAGTAGAACAAGGGCAAGACCTTTCCACGAATGTTCATTTGGACCAAAATAAAGAATAGTCTAGGAACCAGAAATAGATGTAACAAGGTACCTAACACAAACATCTGAAGATGGACTAAGTTTTGTCAGGCTGGGCTTGCAAGAAACATGACCAGCAGAAAACTTTTTCAATAAGAAAAGCCAAGCCACCTTATTGCTTGAAATAATGGGATCCCAAATAACACCTAGTGCCAAAGAAAAGGCTGCATGTTGGTTTCATGGAGTTCTGCCACAAATTTCTTCGGCCAACTCCGGCAGGTCCCCACCTGCAAAATGGGACAGTGCTTGTCTATTAGTGCATCCCCCAGGTTCTAGCTGGTGCCCGCACTGATTCAAGACCACAAACCAGTTCTTTTTTGCTTTCTTTCCTGCCAACTTTCTAGTTTCTTGATACACAGAGCTCCTGCATGTCAAACCTCTTTGGTAATATTTTGGTTTGTACACCAAGTACATATTTGCTAATTGCTTCAAAATAGTTAAACCAGAATAGGAAAATATGTGAGATAGAAGACCTGGATATACTGGGGCTTCTAACACACACCAATACATCCCTGCCCTCCTCTTTTGGTCTACTTTGCCAGATTTTATTAGTGAAATGCTGTGAGTGTGGTTTATTGGTATTTTAATCTTTTTCCTGTGGAAGCTATCAAAAATCAGATTAGTCACACAGATTTATTAGAAACTACACAAAAATAACTTCTCCATTTCTCACTCTACAGACAAACTAGTCTCTCTGTTTTTTTCCCCCTCACTGTTTTTCCTATCCGGTGAGATTCACAGATCACACTGCACAAGGAAATCACATCAGGAATCCTTACTCCAAAAGGACAAAACTAAACCAGCATGTACGAAGGTGAGAACACCAGCTCTACACACTGCTTTAGAAAGGTTTGTGCTTCCCCCATGGCACCCAGAGGCACTGCTTGCTGGGTTGAAGACAGTGTGCGGGGGCAACAAAAGCGTACTTTTACTCTGTAAAATTTATTTTGGGATGTTGTTAAGCTGTGGGTTGTTTCAGGTAGCTTGGTTTGTGGACACAAGCTTTCTGAAGACAGCATTTCCTAACAACTTATTACAAGGGGCATAAAGTATCTTTTTGGATGTGCTCATCTCCTGGATTCTGTGAACTCGAACAGAACTGGTGGGTAACACACTTCCTCTTTTCCTCTCTTCTTCAAGGCAAGGTGGGCTCCTTGAAAGGAAGGTTCAGATTTCCTGAAAAATTAATTAAACCCTACACACAGCTAAAAACTATATTCTTATTTAAATTCTTCCCAAGAATTTCATTGGAAAACACATAGAAAACTCACAATGATAACTCATTTCTTCATTTTTGTCTTATTATTATGAGAATATTGCTTCTTCAGAAGCATTAATTACATGAAATTCAAAGAGCAGTGATTGAAGGAGTTTTATCTCTAAACTATGCTAGGATTTCAATCCAATTCACTAGCCTAGTTACAAAAACTTTGAAGTCTGAAACAAATTCAGATCTCTCTAGACAGTTAGGACAGCCCTCTGGTTTCTTGATCTTATTTGAAAAGAATGTGCAACCACAACTTACCAAAGCCATAATGTCTGAAATCACAAGAACAATGAGGAAAAGGCTGAAAAAAAAAAAAAAAATTAGAACCAGACCATCAACCTTTATTCATGGCCACAGATGTTACAAAGCTTATTAACCCCTCCCCCTGCAAAGAAATTAAAATAAGATCTGATTTCTTGCACTTGCCTTTCAAGCACTCAGATACATTCCAATTTATTAGAGAACAGTTAAAATACATGGCTAGAATATCTGGCATTTGTAATCCCACCCTGCTTGAAGAAGACGTTTCACACAGTTTCAATTTTGCAACAGAGAAACCTAACACAAGTAATTTACTGGATAAAAAGAGCAACTCTCAAACGGCCCATTCCTGATGCAGGGAGCTCATGTGCTGGGTAGGCCAAATAAGGCTGATTTGGACGTTTCAAGGTGGACTCTGGAGCGAGCAAAACTGTTTGGCGCAGGCAGACAGGAACCTGAGACAATGAGTCCCATCCCGAAAACACGCTGGTGGGAAGGAGACTGCTAAAGGAGGTTCTTGCTCCATTTCCAGACCTTCGGGTGCCCGTAAGCTGCTCTGGGAGCACCCAGCATTTTGGCGGCATGCTCCCAAACCCACGGGCCTCTCTGTCAGGCGGCAGGTTACTTCCGGAAAGTAGGCTGCAGCCAGTAAAAGGAATCAGAAGGGAGCACACAGAGCTATTTTTTCCTGCCATTAACCTAATCTTCTTTTCATTAAACTATGTAAATCCTAAATTACACGAAAGCAATTGCTATAACTGGTTAAAACTAGTTTCTAAGTTAATGATACCGAAGCAATGTTGCAAACTGCCAACCCATTAACAGAAGTCTTTAACTAGAATACAGCTAATTTATCAGTACTAGCATCATAAATTCATGAGGCTTTACTGGGAAACGCTGCAGCACTGCGCGAGCACGCACTGGGGGGACACCCATACCAATGCCTCCTGATGGGGAGGTTTCTGATATTGCCTATGTCAGCTATGCTTCGCTAGTAAATACGGATGCAACAAACCGACCATGTCTCAGATGCGCTGAAAGGCCTCCCTCCACTTACCTATGGCTCAGATAGGGTGTTGCAATCTCGGAGTGCCTAGGAGGCACTGGACTAGAGACTAGAGGGCTGTTCTCCCAGGCAAGCTCCAAGAAAATATTCCGGCAGAACATTCCCCACAAACAGAAAAAAAACCAACCCAAAATCTTTATTCTGTAAATGGGGAATTTAGGACCAATTTGTCCAAATCACAAAAATCTACTTTCTGCCCTTCTGAACTGCAGGAAGCCTTTCACAATAGAAGGAGACACTACCTTTAGGGCACGTATACACACTACAAAGACAAGATTGTCCCCTGTGATGGCTTAGTTTATCTAGCAGGGGCAGCAGCAGCAATAAAGAGTGGAGCACAGACTTGAGATGCGCTGACAATCAGAGCACCACCTCCCCAGGGATCCTGGGCACATCTTGTGGTTCCTGCCTTGTTCCCAGGCGGATGCTGCGGCTGTATCACTGCTGCTGTTACCTGAGCACAGCTAAAAGAAGCCGGCACAAACACCATCCAGCGTTACAACCGCTGCCTCGTAAAGCGGCACAGATGTACTCGTGTGCCCCTGGTTTAAAAAGCCAGTATCATTTTGCCTCTCACACACCCAGATGCACATTCCATAAAAGCCTGCAATATCACTGGTGCTGCCAAGGCAAGCGTTCACCAGCTAGGAAATGCTGACCTTTATGATGCCTGAGCCCTAGACATGTAAATCACCAGCTAGTCTTCTGAGCAACCCCTGTTCCTCTAAGCAGCCCTGCATATATGTGTCTTAGTGAGGACAAATATCCTTCCCTGGGGGTCCAGGGACAGCCCAAGTATACTGCACACACAGCTAAGAGAGAAGGTAAAAGGGATGGTGAGCCTTGAGCTTCCTCTCCAATATGAAGTCAGATTTCGGGGTGCCACGTCCCTCGTGAGTACTGGGTGGCATTGCATAAGGAGACAACAGGCAGGACGAAAGCAAACAGGAAGGCAGAGGGCATCACGCTGAGCAAGGGCAGCTTCCTCCTGCTCGGCTGAGTGATATGCAGGCCAGTCCCCACGATCCCCCTGCCACCATCCAGTGAGACCTTTGGCCAAGCCCACACAACATCCCATGGTGACAAACTCAAAACCATGTGGCTGACAGGGGCCTCCTCCGTCTGAGCACCATTCATGATCCCCCACAACGAGCAGAGGATTCAAGGCATGTGCACTGAATGGGGGAGGGAGGGCTAACAGTTAAAAAAATAAAAATCTTGAGACAGTGAAAAGAGTGAGGGCAGTTCAAGTTTGGACACAGCACCCTGAGAGGCTGGGCATCTATCCCACATTCCT